TGGGGGTCGCGCGCCGTCCTCGCGGCAGGTGGGGCAGGTCCAGGGACGCCCCGCGCCCCGCGCGCCCCACAGGCCCTGCAGGCAGTCGCGGCAGAAGCTGTGGCCGCAGGGCAGCGTCGCGGGCCAGTCGAGCAGCCCGTGGCAGATGATGCAGCCCAGGTCGTCCTCGGCCAGCCACACGGGGACGGAGGGACCGGACCCCAGGCCCGCCATGGCGCCGGGCCGCGGAAGTCGCCCACCCGCGGCCACGTCTCGGCAGGCTCCTCCCTCGCTCTTCCTCTTCCCTTCCCCCTCCTCCCGGCCGCCTCTGCCTCGGCTGTCCTCGGCCCACCCTCTCTTCCTTTCTGCGGTCCTGCCGAGGGCTCGTTGGGAACCTCCACCGCGCAGCCAGCGGCGCCCGCTAGGCAGAGCCGGCCTGGAGGTACAGTCTCCTGCCCTGGGAGGCTAGTTAGCTGCAAGCCACTGGGAACCCGCTCACGTCCCCGGATTCCCTTTAGCTTGATGTCGCCCCGTTAAGATGCAACACCGACAATGCGGAGACAGAATTCGATTCGGGAACTCATTTAGGAGAATGCGCCCACTAGGTGTCCTCCAGCTCCTCTAACAAGCAGCCGGTGCACGTCACCCGGGGAGCTCTTGGAGAATACCGTTGTGTGATTTCTTTGTCTGGGGTGGAGCCCCCGCACGAGTAAGGGATTCTTATAAAATGTCCCCCCAGGGGATCCGAATGCGCAGCCAAGGTTGAGTAACTGTCAACGGGCACAGGTCCGGCGGCCTACGCCCTTTCAAAGATAAACCACCCAAAAGTCAAACGTTGGTGAAAATGGAAGTCGGCTTTTATTCAGGAACCCGGTGACCTGAGGAGAGATGTTAGGCTGGCCCATCTGTTCTGTAAACCTGAAGGACAATGACCAGACTAAAGCCATCTCCAAGACTCAGCTTGACTGAGAGGTTTTTAAAGAGGAGACTGAGGGAATGGGCCGTGGGAAATGAAAAGCAGGAGGGCAGGGGACATGTAAGGAGCCTGGTGCAAGTTCTCGCCAAGGCTCCGTCCGGTTTCTGCTCACATCCTTACTGTTATCTCAAGGTCCTGCTGGAATCAGCATAGCTTTATTCATGCCTTCCTTGGTTTCCCAGTGTTTGGATAGTATGTGCAAGACTCCAGGCTGGCTGGAAAATAACTTTACATTCATGTAAACAATGTTATCTTTTCCCCATAACCAAGGCTCAAAGTATCAACTAACCATGGGAACAGAGGGAACTCAGAAAAATGCGTGCCAGGAAAAACACTGTATCCTTTTAAAATTTGCCTACAGCCCATGTGGTTTTAGTTCCCAGCATGGCTTTAGTCCTGTTCACTGCAACGTAACTGACCCCTACGCATTTTTTGTGTTTGTTTCTTTCGTTTTTGTGGGTGGTGGGTACAGGGCTCTGAACCCTTAGACTTGGTGTTATCAACACCGGCTCTTACCAACCGAGCTAGAGGGTCAGCCCGCACCTCCTCCGCCCCTGCTTTTTAAGTCGCTGTTATAATGCAGAATTGTGCCGCTGTCTCCTTACTGCCGTCTGAGGGCTGGAAAGCACATTATGCAACAGGCACCTGGACAAAAATATACTAGAAAGTGTTTTCCTGAGATGACACTCCTGGCACTTCTTGGGCTTGCTTTCTCCCCCTTCGCCTCTTATCCAGTCCTAAGCGCATTACAACCAGAAAATGTTACAGCTCGGAAGAGCACCAAGTCCGCGCAAGGTAAAGGAACGCTCAGGCTTAACTAGCAACAACGGAGTGGCAGGGACGGGAGTTCATTACTCTCTGATCTGTTGAAGTGAACTAACAGTCTGTTATGCTTTACCCCGTCTTGCCTGGGCTCAGTGTAGGTACCAAATAATACAAGTTTGTGGCCGTTTCCAATACTGGCTTATCAAAGTTTCCAAATCTTTCCTTTTCTGGGCACATGGTAGGATTGGCCCTTCTCTGACCCACTTGAAACACTCAGGAGTAATACATGTTACTTCCCACCAGCTTTAAAAGCTAGTGAGCAAGTCATTGTATCCCTTTCTGCCAGCTGCCCCAGCGATGGAGAGGAAGCCATCATCTGGTGACTTGGGTCTCAGAGTAGCTTAGATGAACAGACTCCCTGCCGACCCACCCTAGGACATCTATAAGGGAGAAAAATAAACTTGTGATGTATTAAGCTTACTGAGATTTAGTAGGTGATTGTTGCTACATCATAACCTAACTTATCCTGACTGATATGTTACTGATCTTGTTCAAGATATAGTACCCTGATCTTGTTCCAGAGCATCTTGTTTGGAGTAAAGTCATAGCTTCTTGAGCCTCTCTTTTCTTTTCTGTAAAATAGGCATGATATTAAATACTTGAACATGTCGAATCTTCATTCTTTTTTTTTTTTTTTTTTTTTTTTTTTTTTTTCTTTTTCCGTGTCCGGCAACGGATCGCAACCCTCAGTGTTGCCCTCGTACCGGACCGGGGACCGGCAACGGGATCGCAACCCTCGGTGCTGCCCCCGTGCCTCGCTCAGCCAGTGAGCGGGAACCGGTCCGCATGTGGGATCCGAACCCTCGGGCGGGAGCGCCACCGCGCTTCCCAAGCAGCGCACTATCCAGTGCCCACTGGGCCGCCCCGAATCTTCATTCTTAAAAAATAAAACCACCTTTGATCTAAGCCTTCCTCTAGACAGCTCTCCCTCTCTTTTCCATTTCACAGCCAAGTTTCTGGAAAGAGTGGCTTAATTAGTGGTCTTGGAACTTTTTTTATTAGACAGCCCTTAAAAATTTTAGGCAAAATCATGGAGCGAGAGATGGGCGTGGTCAGTCCAAGCAGTAAAAATGTATTTCCATTCCACTTTCTCCATAGAACTATATTGCAAGGTAATATATTTTTTGCATGAAAGTCTTTTATTTATCACTTTGTAATACTTCTCTGCAACAGAAATATGTACATGTATTGAAATTTTCATTCTTTTTTACTTCCTATGACAAAAAAGCTCTTGTTAAACTTTTCTTCTGGATTGAATTATCATTATAATTATTATTAACAATCAAAACAAAAATAAATATATTGTAAATTTATATAGATAATTTTTAAACAAAAAGTAAAAAATTTTTTTTGGAAATACAGCTATTCACCAGATGGATGAGCTGCTTTCTTTCTTTTTTTTTTTTTTTGTTTTTTTGTCTTTTTGTCTCTTTTTTCGTGTCCGGCAACGGATCGCAACCCTCAGTGTCGTGCCCGTACCAGACCGGGACCGGCAACGGGATCGCAACCGTCGGCACTGCACCCGCACCTCGCCCAGCCAGTGAGCGGGAACCGGTCTGCATGTGGGATCCGAACCCTCGGCGGGAGTGCCACGGCGCTCCCAAGCGGCGCGCTGTAGCAGTGCACCACCGGGCCGGCCCGAGAGCTGGTTTCTTTTAAAAATGCTTTTACCTGTGGATGAACATTAGTTAACACTAGAATTAGATATGTTCAGCAGTAAATTCTATTCCTATCTTTTTGTTTCTCTGAATGTTTTTATAAAAGTGTTGAGAAATCTTATTCACATATATAAATAGACGACAGCAATGTCACACATTTTATTGAACATTTTCTGAAGTATACACAAAAAAACACATAGTACTCCATCATCAAAAATTATTTTTAATAGTCTCTCTGCTGACAACTTGACTAGATTTTTGTTTAATTTTTGTTGAAGCAATAATTCTTTTTTTTCTTGTAGCTGGCTGGTACAGAGCTCGAACCCTGGACCTTGTTGTTATCAGCATCACCCTCTAACCAACTGAGCTAACCAGCCAGCCCAAAAGCAAGAGTTTGAAACCACCTGTTTTGCAAAAGACATTAGAAGTATTCACTTTCTTGTATTCTGGGAGATGTGCCAAAAAACTTTGTCAAGGTTTATCAATTAATTATCAATTGTAACCAGTAACACTTTTACTTAGAGACACCTTGTTTAACCTGATATATTCAGAAAGGGTTAGGAAAATTAGCATATCGGGGGGAGGGTTCTTTTTTATTTTTTTTCTTGGCTCTGGCCTATATTGGGATCCTTGGTGTTATAACACTGCATTCTAACCAATTGAGCTAACTGCCAGCCCAGAATACTGTTCCTTTCAATACATGTTTGTCAACCTAATATTTTTTTAGAGAGATATTTTTCCAAATATCCAAGATATTTCCAAAAATGTTGGATAATTTTGTTTTTGTTTTTGGCAACCAGCTAGCATGGGGATCTGAACCTGACCTTGGTTTTACACCACCGCACTCTAACCAATATTTTTTTGTCTTATATGCTTGAAGTAGAATTTCTTCAAAAGTTTGGAGCTACAGATTAAGCTCATTAAATTTTTGTAAAATTTGGCCACATCACCTAATTGGCAAAGCCAGTTTTTATTGTAAAGCTAGTCAAATCAGACTCATTTTCTGCCAGAAAGTCTGACTTTTTTTCAGTTCAAGTAAATGTGATAATACACATCCCTAATCACACTGAGTTGTATTGATAAGTTAGGTAAGAAATGACAAGGTCCTTGAGTTTGTATGCTAGATGAAATAAGGCACAATTGCCATTAACATGTTCGACTAGTGCCTCCTTGGCTTTGCTCTTTGGTCTTACTAGATTTCTTCAGAGACAAAGCAATTTTTGTTAGGAGAAGGAAGAGGTCATTAAACTCGCATTGTCCTTAGTTCCAGTCCACCTTATAATAAGTGAATACAAACATTCAATCATAAGCCAAAATACCCCTTTTTTTTTTTTTTTTTTTTTTTTTTTTTTTCTGGCCCCAAAATACCCCATTTTTAATACCAAATTTTGTCAGCAACAAAAATCTGCATAAAACAGAGACAGTCATCAATGCTGACCTCAATGCCTTGATTAAAGGCTCTTCACTGGGGCCGGCCCGGTGGCGCACTGCCACAGTGCGCCGCTTGGGAAGCGTGGCGGCGCTCCCGCCGAGGGTTCGGATCCCACATACAGACCGGCCGCTCACTGGCTGAGCGAGGTGCGGGAGCAGCACCGAGGGTTGCGGTCCCGTGGCCGGTCCCGGTCCGGTGCGGGCGCGACACTGAGGGTTGCGATCCGTTGCCGGTCACGAAAAAAGACAAAAAGGAAAAAAAAAAAAAAGGCTCTTCACTGACACTGTTAAGAGAATGAAAAACTACAGACTTGGGGAAAATATTTGCAAGTCCATGTCTGTCAAAGGACTAGTATCCAGAATACATAAAGAACTCTAAAGGGCTGGCTAGTCAGTCAGTTGGTTAGAGTGCAGCCTTACAACACCAAGGTCATGGATTCAGATCCCTGTACCAGCCAGGCACCAAAAAAATAAAATGAAAAGTTAACAATAAGAAAACAAAAACCCCCCAAAAAGAAACAAAACGAATCACCTAATTTAGAAAAGGGCAATGGAAATCAGTCACTTCACCAAAAAATACATACGCTGGGCAATAAGCAGACATAAAAGGTCTTCAACGTCATCAACCACTAGGGAAGTGCAGATTAAAACCATGATAAAGGCCGGCCCGGTGGTGCACTCGGTAGAGTGCGGCACTTGGGAGCATGGCGGTGCTCCCGCTGAGGGTTCGGATCCCATATAGAGACCGGTCTGCTCACTGGTTGAGCGCGGTGCGGATGCAACACCGAGGGTTGCGATCCTATTACCAGTCACAAAAAAAGACAAAAAGGAAAAAAAAAAAACCATGATGAGATACTACTATATACCTATTAGAACAGTTAAAATTAAAAATACTGACAATATAAGTGCTGGTGATGATGCAGAGTAACAGGAACTCTCATACATTGCTAGTGGAAATGCAACATAGTATAGCAACTTGGACAGTTTGTTATAAAGTTAAAATATACACCTACTGTATGACCTAGCAATCCCATTACTGGATATTGTTGCATGTATGAATGATTTGTTCCTTTTTATTGCTGAGGAGTATTCCATTGGACAAGCAAACTATGATACATCCATACAACAAAATACTCCTCAGCAATAAAAAGGAAAGAACTACTGATAGATGCAATCACGTGGATGAATCTCAAAGGCATTTTGCCATGTAAAAGAAGCCAGTCTCAAAAGATTACATATTGAATGATTCTGTTTTTATAGCATTCTCAAAAATCCAAATCTGTAGGGATGAAGAACAGATCAGTGGTTGCCAAGGGGCAGGGGAAGGATGTGGCTACAAAGAGATAGCACGAGGGAGTTTTCTGGGATGATGAAACTGTTCTTTATTCTCATTGTGGTGGTGGTTACATGAATTCATGTATGTATTAAAATTCATAGAACGGTACAAAAAAATAAGTCAATTTTACTATATGATAATATAAGAAATAAATTTTAAAAAGAAGGCTTAGTTATCATTAATATTTTAAATTGTTTCTTTATTTAACATCCCAAAGATTTTGTCTTTTTTTTTTCCCCTACTCTAGTAAGATTCCAGAGGGGTGAGAGGTATGCCTTTCTTTTCTAAATGGGAGAATGATGTGTAGGAAAGAGGTGGGAAAGGAGAGCAAGTATGATGCCTGGGACATGAGCCCACTGTCTGTGATTCACTGCAGTGACCTCTCAGTTGGTAGGTCTCTTTCCCATCAACACTCCAGATTGCTGCTTTGTTTTTTAAAAACTCAGATCTGGTCATGTCATTCCCCTGCTTAATACTTTCAGTGCTGTAAGTCTAAATGCCTTAAAGTAGTGGAGCTATTGGTCTGTAAATAGATAAATAAATACACAAATGCCTTGAAGTGGTTTATAAAGCCCTGCCTGATCTGCTGCCAGCTTTTTCAGTCTCATCTGTAATTGTGTGCGACCCCCAGTCTTCTCTCATTTGTTTTGATCAGTCTAACAAAGGGTTTCTCATTTTTATTGCTTGTTTTTAAAACCCACTTCTGGCTTTGCTCATTTACTCCATTATTTGTCTGTTTTCTATTTCATTGATTTCTGCTTTATTATCTATTTTCTTCTACTTACATTGGGCTCACCTTGCTCTTCTTTTTCTAGCTTCTTAAAGTGAAACATTAATTCAGTATTATCCTATAGAAATATAATGTGCACCATATTTGTAATTTTGTTTTACATAATATTTACATTGTATTAGGTCTTATAAGGAATTCAGAGATGATTTAAAGTTTACAGGAAAATATGCATATGATATATAGAAATAGTACATCATTTTATATAAAGGACTTGAGCATCTCCAAATTTTGGTAGCCGAAAGTGTTAGGAAACCATCCCCCATTAATATTAAGAGACAACTGTACATTCCTAGCATTTTTCTCCTGTGTGACTTCTTTGATGTATCCCAAGATGTGACTTCAGGTGAAAGGTTTTTCCACACTCAATACACTTATAGAGATATCCACCTGAATTCTCAGATATTTTGTGAAGTATGACTTCTTGTAGAAAAATTTCTTACTTTCCATTCATATGGTTTCTTACCTGTGTGAGTTCTTCCATGCAACCTGAGGATTGACTTTGGGGAAAAGGTTTTTTCAGATTCATTACATTCAGAGGGCTTCTGACCTGTATACATTCTTTGATGCACTTAGAGTTGATTTATGATAGAAAAATTTCCTACAATCTTTACATTTACATGGTTTCTCACCTGTGTGAGATATCTGAGGTACACTGAGTGGTGATTTACTGTAAAAAGTTTTTCTACAGTTTTTTTTCAAATACTATCTTATATGTGTAAATTCTCTGATGTCTGCTGAGGAGTGACTGCTAATAAAAGGTTTTTCCTCATTCATTATATTCATATAGTTTCTCATCTGTATGAATTCTCTGGTGTACACTGAAGGCTGATTTCTAGTAGAAAGATGTCCTATATCCTTTACTTTCACATGGTTTCTCACCTGTGTGTGTTCTCTGAAGCACTGTAAGGATATACTTCTGGCGAAAGGTTTTACCACAGTCATCACATTCATAGGGTCTTCCCCCATGTGAATTCTCTCACGTTTAGTGAGGGCCGACTTCCACCAAAATGTTTTTCCACAATCAGTGCATTCATATTGTTTCTCACCAGCATGAGTTCTCTGATGTACATTGAGGGCTGATTTCTGGTAGAAAGATTTCCTACATTCTTTACATTCAAATGGTTGCTCACCTGTGTGAGTTCTCCAATGTACACTGAAGACTGAATTCCAGGAAAAAGATTTTCCACATGCATGACATTCATAGGGTTTCTCACCTGCATGAGTTCTCTGATGCAAACTGAGGTGTGACAGACTGTAGTAAGTTTTTCTACTTTCTTTACATTCATATGGTTTCTCACCTGTGTGAATTCTCTGACACCTGCTGAGGAGTGACCAAGTGATAGATTTTCCCACACACATTATATCTATAGGGTTTCTCCCCTTTGTGAGTTCTCTGACGTATATTGAGGTCTGATCAGATAGAAAGATTTTCTACATTCTGTACATTCACATGGTTTTTCAATGGTGAGAATTCTCTGATGCTTGCTAAGAAGTGATTTCTGGTGAAAGGTTTTTCCACATACATTACATCCATAGGGTTTTTTTCCTTTGTGTGTCCTCTGATGGATTGTAAGGGATGATTTATTAATGTAGGACTTTTCATATTCACTACATTTATAGAGCTTCTCTCCTGTGTGTACTTTTTGATGATTAGTGAGTTTAAACTTCTTATAAAATGCTTTCCCACACATATCACATTGAAGCATTTCCCTCCCTATCTGAGTTATCTCTTGGGCAATCAGAGCTGACTTACCAAAGGTTTTCCCACATTCATTATATTTCCAGGAGGTCTCTTCCATATGAAACTTCTTCTGCAGCAAAAATATTGGCTCTGTGTTGAAAGCTTTCCCTTGTCAACTATATTTAAAAGGCTGCTGCCTAGTTTGAACTTTGGGATGCTGGCTAAGATGCTCACAATGTCTCATGGATTTTCCAGTTATATTATGGTCATCAGGTTTCTCTACAGCATGTGTCTCATCAGGCTTTCTAGAGAAAAGCCCACCCTGGCATACTTTATACTCCTCAGGCCTCATTCCTGAATAGTTTCCAATATTGATAATCAGATTTGAAATGCAGTTTGACTTCAAATTAAATATTTTTCCTAACTCAGCCCTCTCCTCATTTGATGTGTTGCTGTTGGTGATTACAATCTGACACAGCATCTGTCATGACTTTCTTGGCTCCTCTCAATTAGGTCATCAACTATCTGGACATTTGGGAGGCTCTGTTTTGGGGGTTCACCAGTCATCCACGGCTCTGCTCCTTGCTCCAACATGAAGATCACCTCAGGTTTGGTAATGCAGCATCCCAGCAATACCAGGCTGCTTTAGATCTCCAGCATCACATCAGGGTACAGGGTCTTCTGAGCGTTATTCAGATCCTACCACTCTTCCATGGTGAATCCCACAGTCACATCCTCAAATGACACCAACCCTGAACATTTACTCATTTTTTGGTTGCTCTTAGAAATGCATAGAGCACTGTGGCAGTGCTTCAAGGATACACAATCCAACCCCAATCCATATTTGTAATTTTTAATTTTCAGTACCCATGTTTTAAAAAGTAAAACTAAATAGGTAAAATTAATTCTAATAATATATTTCATTTAATCAATATATCCAAATATTATCATTTTATTTTTTTTAATTTTATTTTTTTGTCTTTTTTTGCGACCAGTAAGGGGATCGCAACCCTTGGTGTGGTGTCAGCCAGTGAGCGCACTGGCCAGTCTATAGGATCCAAACCAGCGGCGGGAGCGTCACTGCACTCCCAGCGCCGCACTCTCCTGAGTGCGCCACGGGCCAGCCCCAAATATTATCATTTTAACATGTAATCAATATAAAACATTTTAATGAGATATTTACATTCATATTTTTGTACTAAGTCTTTGAAATCCAGTGTATACACAGAGCCCATCTCAATTTAGCAAAATTTTAGTTGGAAATATTTGATTTGTATTGGGATTTCATAAAATTTAGAGTTAAAAGGGTAGATTCACATACCACGTTGTTCCAAATATGCTTAAAAGTATTCCAGTAACTGAATCAGTTATCAAAACATCAGAGGAAAATTAAGCATCCAAAATATGGCTGGACAAGGAGAAGAAAATGTACCAATTTCTGCCCCAGTAACGTTCTGAATCCCCTATGAGTCTCTTTCAGTGTCGGCCAAACTGGAGTTAAATCCATCCTCTTAAATTCAATGTGTGCTCAGAGTATATGTGTAACAACATAAGCAGTTTTATGACTGATACAGAAAACTTCCAGAAAGTTTTAATCAAAGCAGTTTAATTAACGTGTCAAAAATATCCTTGCTTATTATCAAAAAGTGTCAGTAGGTTCAGCTTGCAGCTCAAATGTGGATCGTTTATGAAGCAGGTTTATATTTCTAAAGATGTTAACAAGATCTTCATCTGAAACAATCTGAACTGCAAAGATGTGATTATGAGCATAATTTTCTAAACTAAAAGTTTTTGGAAAAGATGAAAGGTCTGAATAAGAGCTTTTAGTTATGCTGTGCAGATTCAAAAGAACTATGGAAAACTTTTGAAAATTCATGTAAATAAAAATCACAGAGTGAAAATTTTCTTTGTTAAATTATCTTAATAACTTAAAACTACATGATTTCCTGGAAAATTTTATTATTTAAAATGTAGAGGCATTGTAAAAAGAAAATAGTGATGTAAATATATATATTCTCTTTCAAAAAAAAGGGCTGACTCGTTTTCTTTTTTCTTTTTCTTTTTTGTCCTTTTTGAGACTGGCCACACCGTGCTCAGCCAGTGAGCGCTGTGAGCGCACCGCCCATCCCTATATAGGATCCGAACCCGAAGCGGGGAGCGCTGCTGCGCTCCCAGCACCGCATTCTCCCAAGTGCGCCACGGGCTCAGCCCCTGACTCATTTTCTTAGTTGGTTAGAGCATGATGTTGATAACACCAAGGACCAAGGCTCTGCCAGTGACCCCCCCAAAAAGCAATTGACAAAATTGTTCCATCTTTTTGGGAAGAATTGTTTTGACTTTGAAGCAAAAGCATATCACTTTCAAAACTGTGTCTGTCCCAAGCTGAATACATTCACTAATTCTAGTGTGAACTCAGTATTATTAACATTAAATATTAAACTTAAAGGAATAGTGCATAAATTTAAAAGCAACTTCAATAACAATAAAGTGTTCAACTTTTCTTGTAGTTTTTGCATCAAATTTTTGTAACTATTGATTATAATTAAAACAAAAGCTTTCACATATTTGTTACTGAACCAACCTACTAGTGCAGAGCAAAGAAACAAAGAATTTTCCCAATAAAAACATGTCTAACTGTCCAGATAGTAGTGATATTTGAAGAAAAATTCTTATAACTGTCTAGCTAGGCCACAAATTAGCTTTTCCTTTTCTTGGAGCTTCAAAATTAGCTCATTCATATGCAGTGTGATATCAGTGAGAAAATATAATCCCACTGCCTTACATCTTTGGTTTTTGTCAAGCATTTGTTTGGTTTCAAGAAAATCTTGGAATTTACAGTGCAGTAAATCATTGTAAAACATCCAAAATTTAATCAAAATTTTGGATAAGTTGTCTTATGTTTCTTTCAACAGTTTCATAAACTGGCAATAATTCATAACATTTGCATGTATATGCTGAATAATTTTAACTATATCCATGACACTTTTCATATAGTCTGCCTCAGAAAACTGAGCACAAATATTTTCACTATCATACAACAGAACAACACCATAAGGGAAACAGTCTCTTGTTTTAAAATTTCAACATATTTGAATTTTTGACCTAATACAGCTAAAAGAACCATCTCTCTCAATGTAAATTAAGTTTTCCATCTCTACCTGAAATTCTTCTTTAAAAGACGTAAAAGATTTTAAAATATCTACACCATGAATCTGATATCTTAGGCAGTGAATTGACATTTCCTCATAAATTTAAAAGTCCTTTGAAACAAAACTAACCCAAATTACTCACTGTTAGTCTGGGTATCATACAACTCATCTAAAGCTAAAGAATAGTACCTTTATTTTTTCAAATTTTGAATCCATTGATCTTTGATGTTATTAGAAAGATCTGGTATTCTACAGACAATTGTTTGACAGCTTAATTGAAGGTCTTTCACTTTTTTAAATAAAATTTAACTTTTAATCTTTTCCTCATCATTAAAAATTTTTTTTACAACTGAAGTAATAAAAATCTTATGCTATGCTTGACTTCCAACATTGGCCAAAAAAAAAAAAAAATTTATATAGTGTAATGATTAAAGTGAAATATAGGGGCTAGCCAGTTAGCTCAGTTTTTTAGAGTATGGTGTTATAGCACTAAGGTCAAGGGTTTGGATTCCTGCAGCATCCAGTTGCCAAAATTTTTTTTTTAAATAAATAAATGAATAAATAAATAAAGTGAAATGTAGTCTCACCAAAACAATTAAGTTGTCTTTGAAGGAAAAATATTTTACATTTTAAAATTTAATTTTAAATTATTTAAGATTAGAGAAAATTAAATAAAATTAACTGCAGAGACATTAAAAAGATCAATGGTTGCCAGAGATTAAGGGGGAGGGAGAGATAAATAGATGGAACACAGAGGATTTTTAGGGCAATGAAAACTCTATGATACTATTATAATACATACATGTCATTATATATTTGTCCAAACCCTAGAATGTATAACACCAAGATTGAACCCTAATGTAAACTATGGTATCTGGGTGATAATAATGTGTCAGTGTAGGTTCATCAATTGTAACAATTGATGGGGGGGACATTGATAATGGAGAAGGCTAGCATGTGTTAGGGCAGAGGATATATGGGAAATCTCTGTACCTTCTGCTCAATTTTGCTGTGAATCTAAAACTGCTCTAATAAGAAAGTCTTTAAAAATTAATATAACACCAAGTTCAAGGGTTCAGATCCCTGTACCAGCCAGCCACGAAAAAAAAAATTTTTTTAAGTAAAATTGAACTGAATTAAGAAAAACAATTAAAAATTTAGTTCCTAGATATGATGTAGTTGTGAGTAGTAGAGAGGGAGGGAGGAAAGAGGAATGGGTAAAGAGACCCCAAAATCAACTACAATGTATACTGAGGAGTTAAAATAAAAAATAAAATAAAATAAAAATTTAGTTCCTCAGCTGTGTTAACCACATTTCAATGTTCAGTGGTAACATGTGACTAGTAGTCATCATATTGCCATCAATATGGCATCAATAAGCCTTTGTTTATTGATTTTTATGCCTTTCCCTTTAATTACTGCTTTAGCTACATCATTTTAGTTTTGACATTTTGCTTTTTCATTACCATTCAGTTAAAAATCTTTCTAATTCCCATTCCAGCAGGGGTAGCTAAAAAAAAAAAAAAAATTCCTAATTTACCTTGTGTTGTGGTTAATTTTTTGATCCATGGTTATTTGTCTATTTCTCTCTTTAAAAAATATTTTTTTTTGGCAGGTGGCCTGTACAGGGATCCAAACCCTTGACCTTGGTGTTACAACACTGCATTCTAACCAACTGAACAAAGTGGCCAGCCTCTCTTTTCTTTTTGTAACTCCTAATATATACATGTTTGGGCTTTTGAGATAATCTCACAGGTCAATGAGTTTCTATGTTCACTTCTTCAATCCTTTCTTCTTTTTGGTAGCTTGCTGGTATGGGGATATGAACTTGTGACCGTGGGGGTTATAAGGCTGTGCTCTAACTGACTGAGCTAATCAGCCAACCAATTTTATTTTTTCTTACTGTTTTTCAGGTTGGACAGTTTCCATCAATGAATCTTCAAGTTCATTGACTCTTTTGTCATCTCCAGTTTACTGTTGAGCTGAGTTTTTTATGCACATATTGTATTTTTGCATTCTAGAATTTCCATTTGGTTCTTTTTTTATAATTTCTATTTCTCTGCTGAAATTTCAAATCTGTTCATTCATTATGAGCATATTTTCCTTTACATATAGTTATGAGCACAGTTATAATGGCTGCTTTAAACTTCTTCTCTGCTAACTCAAATATCTGAGATATCTTGGAATCAGTCTCCACTGATTGGCTTTTCTCTTGAGTATTAAGAAAGTTAATTTTTGTGTCACCTTGACTGGGCTAAGGGTTGCCCATATAGCTGGCAAAACATTATTTCTGAGTGTTTCCAGAAGAGATTAGCATTTTAATAGGTAGACTGAGTAAAGAAGATTACCCTCACCAATGTATGTGGGCATCATCTGATCCACTGAGTTCCTGAATAAACAAAAACGTGGGGAAGGGTGAATTTGATCTCTCTGCTTGAGCTGGGACATCCTTTTTCTCCTGCCCTCAGACATTGGCACTCCTGGTTCAGGCTTTGACTGGAACTATGCCACTGGTTTTCCTGGGCCTCCAGCTTGCAGATGGCAGATCATGGGACTTTTCAGCCTCTGTAATCACATGAGCTAATCCCTCACAATAAATATCTTTGTATGTATTAGGATATATATCTTATTGGTTCTTTTTCTCTGGAGAACCTTGAGTAATCAAATATGGTTCATATTTTCTTGTTTCTTCATATGTCTAGTAATTTTGGTTATATCCTGATATTGTGAAAGGTACATTGTAGACTTTCTGGATACTGTTATGTTCCTCCCAAGATCAGGCAGTTTATATGCAGAATTCAAGGCTCTCCCTATGTGGCCTTCTCCCAGACTTAAACTATGTCCTCTATTTTTCAGTCAGTAAGACTGCAGGTTCCCATCAGAATTTTAGTGGCTCCCTGAGGCACTTACCTCAAAATAAGAAATTCAACCATGCTATTTTCTGCTTCCTAGTACCAACTCCTCTCTGGTTTCTGCCTGCTTTTTTGGTCATTTTCCAGTGCCTTCACATAGTTGCTTTGTTATAGTCTGTCCAGAGTTAATAATTGTTATCGGTGGGATGGTTCTGATATGAGCTGCTCCACCATTACTGGAAGCAAACCCTTCTCCAATCTCTTCTATTCCTTACTCCCGTTCTCCCCCACCAAGAACCTGTACTCTAGCCATATTCGAGTATTTTAAGTTTCCAGAATAGGCCTTTTTCTCTGCCTTCCCCTACCCCAACCCAAGTATCTTCTGCTTATTCTTCAGGATTCAGCATAGATACAATCTCTTTTGGAGAACTTTATCAGTTGGGACTGATTCAAGTAATAGACACTTCCTTGCAACAGCAAGCCAAAAACAGAGAAGGGAATTTAATGTAAGAGTACAGAGGTATCCTCAGGGAATCTAAAGAGAGATATAGCCAGGTCTCAGGAACCAACCAAAACCAGGCACTCCATTCATTGGGATTTCATCTCCTCTATCTGCTCTGCCCCTCTGAGGGGCTTCCACCCTTAGAATCCCAGTTTCCCTCCTCGAGTAATTTTGTTACTGCCTGACTACTTCTCTTTCTTTCCTTCTAGACCATAAGTTCCTTGAGGATGAGATTATGCATTTATTAATTCTCTCATTCCCAGAACTCAGCAGAGTTCACCCACCAGAGCTCAGAGTTGTGAAAAAGGCAGACAAGGAAACTGACCCTTCATACACAACCCAGCAAGTGTTGCAACAGACATTTTCAAAGTGCTTTAGGAGCCAGAGGGGATGGAGAGGACCCACCTCTCTACCTGGGCAGTCAGGAAGCCTCAGGAGACACTAAGATGTGTTGCCTGTCCTCTGATTGGAGGACCAAAGGAAAGTTCCATAAAATGCAGAGAATCTCTTAAAGACCCTCCCAACCCTCTGAGTCTCCATAGAAGTGAAGAAAGAACACCCAGTGTATTTCCTCATGTCAGTTGAAAGGAGAGGAAAGAAACAAAGAATCTGAGTAGGGATCTTGGGGATGTGTTTCTCTAATATTTCAGCCATTCGATATTTCTTTCAGTTCCTCTTTCCCATCTTGGGGTCCTTGAACATTTTCTTTCCTAAGCTTAGAGTGTTGTCTTCATCTTCTTCCCTTTGACTAACGTCTAAACAGCTTGAAGATTTTTATTTAAACGTCGTTTCTGGAAAGGAAGGCTTCCCTCTCCCTCTCAGGGTAAACCCTATTGCCACACACTCCGACAGCAATCTGTTCTTGCCCTTTCTGAACACTCACCTCCTTGTGCTGCCCTGTTGAAGGGCTGCCTGCCCCAGCAGTCTATAATCTGTGACAGCAGAGACCATGTCATCCTGTTCTGCCTATCTGCAGGGCTTGGCACAGAGCCCGGCACCTGGAAAGTGGTCAAAAATACTTGTTACTTGCATTGAATTCCAATAGTTAGAGCAGCTTCTTCATTTTAAAGGGAAAAACCAAGGCACAGAGATGGGGAATTTTCCAACGATCTCAAGTTAGTGGTAGGGCCAGCCCTGGACCACTCAGTTTGTTCTTTCCTTCCAGGGCACTCTGGTGATCCATGTGGGCATTGTATTTTATGTCATCTAGGCTTTATTTCTTCTAAATTGTGCATGCACAAAAATAGAACTCTCCCAGGAACTTTTTTTTTTTTTTTTGGTGGCTGTCCACTGTGGGGATCCAAGCCTGTAACCTTAGTGTTACAAGGCTGTGCTCTAACCAACCGAGCTATCCAGCCAGCCCAGCCAGGAACATTGTTGACTCATGAAAACAAAACAAACAAACAAAAACCACTGCTTTTGAAGAGTGAAAAGTGGTTGTTTTTTTATTTCCTCCCAACTTTTTAATTTGAAGACTTTCAAATTTATATAAAATTTGCCTGAATAAAACAATAAACATCCATCTATACTTCATCTAGATTCATCAGTTGCTAACATTTTGCAATGGTGCACTCTCTCTACACGCACTCTATACATATACATGTACACACACTTATTTTTTGCCAAACCATTTAAGAATCAATTATACATATCATTACATTTTATCCCTAAATTCTTCAGCATGTATCTCCTAAGAACAAGAGCATTCTCCTATACAAATACAGCATAATTATCACAGTCTTACAATACTTTTAGCTAGTATGCATCCATATTCAAATTTCCCCAATTATCTCAGTTATATCCTTTACAGCCATCTTTTTAAAATCCAGGATCCAATTAAGAATCATGAGTTGCATTTGCTTGCCATGTCTCAGTCTCCTTTAATCTAGAATAGTTCCCAGACTACTTTGTCTTTCATGATATTGACATTTCTGAAGAGTTCAGGCCAGTTGTTTAGCAGAATGTCCCTCATGTGGATTTGTCTGATCATTTCCTCATGATTAGATTCAAATTAAACTTTTCACATGTGTGGCAAGATGCCACTTGCGTGATGCTGTGGGTGCCTTTTAATTGCAATGCCTCATTTCAGATGAGAAAGTTCTGGGCCTTAAGAACATTTCAGGCCTGGGTATATTTGGAGGAGAGGGAGCAGATGTGTTCGTGTATGCTCCAGTTCCCCAGATCCCTGGGGCTCAGCAGTGGGGAAGGCCCAGGGAGCTGGCAGATAAAGCCACAGCTTCAGTCCTGGAAGAGTTCACTGCCAGGGATGGCTGCTGGCTGCAGAGCACTAATGCCCACAACCGGAGCTGAAGTGATAACCTCCCTTTTCCAACAGGAGCTCTGGGTGTTCAGTGGCCAGCCAGTTCCTCAGCCAATGGGTCACCTGCTGCTGTGGCCACTCTCTGTTGATGCAGCTGCAAGAGAAACAAGAGGGCTGAGGGAGGTGGCCACACCAATGCAGTCCTATTGGAGGGAAGGGACAGCAAGGGGAAAGACACATGTGACAGAGGGAGCCAGAATAAAAGCAATGGAAGAGTGAGAAACAGACCAGAGGAGAGAGCAGCTGAAAGACAGACAGAGAAACCAAGACTCAGATGCATTTGCCCACAGAGAAAAAAAGCACCAGCTGATAAGCTTCACAATTCTTAAGTCCATTTCTGAGGCTCTTTGGCTTTGAGACTTGGGACAGGAAAGAGTTTGTGGATCTTTGGATCTTTTTTTCTTTTTTTTGGCAGCTGGCCCTTGACCTTGATGTTGTAACACTGTGCTCTAATCAATGGAGCTAACCTGCCAGCCCTGAGAGTTTGTGTTTATACCGGTCAGACTCAAAGCGCACAGGGGTTTCCCTCAAGGGGTAGTGTGGGGTCACTTGCTCAGTCTGTGCTTTTCCAAACACAGAACTTCTCTTTTATGTACCAGCGCCTGACCCTGGACCAGAAGTTTCCTGCTGTAGCATGTGAAAAACGGGGTTGTCAGCAGACAGGGAAGCCTATTGTGACAAAGCTGGGGGGGAAGAGGAGGAGCAGGAGAGAGGCAGACACGTGGCCCAGCAGGAGCAAAGGCACTAGAAACAGCCTTCCCTCTGGAGTGGTGAGGAATCCAAAATCCCAGGAGCTGCCCAGCAGGTGTGACCTTAGCATATTTTAGCATATCCCAACAGGCCTGGGTTTTCTCACAAAAAAAGGGTTGCGGGCGGGGAGTAGGGGTGGGTGGATGGAGAGGCTGCTCAGTCCCTAGAGACAGTGGGGAGAGACAGCACTGAAGGTTCCGCCACGGCCAGACTCCTCCAGAAGCTCACGGAGAGGACTCTGTTAGAAGAACTTAGGACGGACAGAGGGGGCTTTCTAGCAATAATGTGCACTGTCTGCTTTTCTTTGGCAGGAAGAGAAGACAATAGAAAGAGGTTAATCAGGGCTCCTTTTTGGCATCACAGTTGAATGCAAGTGAAAAAGCCACTTTTTCTGCCTTTGGCCAAAAGAAAACCCCCAGTCCCTGCTTCTCACTGAGGAGGCTGAGGGGTGTCAAGGGGCAGGACAGGACATCCTGCAAACTCTCCAGCCATTCCCGCCGCTCCTTTTCGCTGGGGCAGGTGAGGACAAATCTCCGCTCTGGGGTGACGATGGTGAGGCCAGCTTTCCAGCAGTTCCCTCGGATGCCCTTGGGCAGGTCTTCATATACTGCATACCCTTGCTCCTTGCTCCCAAGTAAAACCTGGCCCTGCTCAAAAGCATCCTGAAAATAGAGGGCACGCACGTGGTCATCAGAGGCTGCCCCTGGGGCAGAGGGCCCCTGCAGCCCTGATAGCCTTCAAGCTCTATTTTGGTAAAAGGGTGTGAGTGTCCCTGCCAGGATTTCTGCTAGGTGGAACCCAGAATCTGAAAGACTAAAACCCTAAAATAAACCACACACATCATTTGTTAAAAAGATACTTAACATTTATAGACCGCTTACTAAGCACCAGGAATTTAAGTGTAACTCTTATAATCATCATGGCAACCTCTGAGGAAGGAGGAAACAGAGGCACAGAGAGCTAAGTACTTGGCCCAGGGCACACCACCACAAGTGGCCGGGCTGAGACCAAAGCCCAGACAACCAGGTTCCAGAGCCCACGCTCCTAACCACTCCATTTCACAGCCTCCTGCTTAGAAGTGAGCCCTGAAGGAAATATGCCTTATTTAACTACAATTGGTAGCTTTGAGATGCTCATAATGGACTTCCTGAAGGCGAGGGAAGAGAAAAGCCTTGGTATCTGAGATGCCCTACAGAGAAGCAAGGGGTGGAGGTTTTCCTCTCCAGGTTCTCCAGCCCTGGGAGTCCAGGAGACACGGTTATCTGTAGCTTCCCCACAGTTCCCAGCAAGCACTGACCCACCTCTGTCTGGGGCAGCTCTGGGGAGGGACCAGGAGTGGCTCTTACCAGCGGTTTCTTATAATAGAGCAGCCTCCGCTCCTGAGGGTCCAGGGCAAACCACCTTTTCTTGAAAGGTTCTCTCTGCTGCAAAAGAGGGAGCATTTCCTGAGGATAGAGGTCGGAGGCCAGCCCAGGCCAAGTCAAGGGAGCTGGCCAGTCCTGATGGTTCTCCAGCTCAACTCCATAGTCAGACCCCTAGCTGGCACCTCTCCCCGGGGCCTGGCAGGGGCTCTCTGGCTCTGAAGGCTCTGCCCTCCCCCTTCCCCAGCCCCCCATCTCCCCTGCCAGCATCACCCTGCAGCCTCCAGGTGCTGCCTTGGGTTGGAAGAGGATCTTCCCTCTTTCTCAGGCTGTGAACAAAGAAGTCTCCAAAGAAGGAAGTTGGAGAATCAGAAGTGGCTGCTGCTCAGCAAGGCCAGAAGTGCCCAGGTCAAGGCAGAGAAAGCCCCAGGGCAAGAGGCATGGGAGGGGTTGAATCCGGGCTGGTGAAGGAAGAAAACCTGAAACAACCCTTTGACTACTTTTTGCTTTCTCTCAAACTGTTTCCTTAACACCTTTTGCTGGCCTCCAACATCCATCCTATAAACATATTAACCTTTTTTTAAAAACAGCATTAGAATGTGCCACCTCTGGAGAAGTTTTAGGGAACGTCCTCAGCTTCACCCCTCCTCCCTTCTTCCTCCCTCCCCTCACAATCACTGGAACCCCTCCAGCCAGACTCCTGCTTTGAGCCTCGCCCTACCCAGCATGCAGGCTGCACCCAGTCTGGACCCTCCCCAGGAGGCACTAAGCAGCTGGGCCTTCCCCACCTTCCTAGACAGTGGGACTGAGCAGCCCCTGGAGAAGGGGGCATGTTCAGCAAAGGGGGCCAGGCTGAGTTAGAGGGCGAAGCGGGTGTTGGGGAAGGGGCATGCACATGGCCCACTGGCACCCAAGCCCGGGGCACATGAATGTTTTCTTAGGCCAGTCACCAGCCCCTGTCTCCTTTGGACAGTCCTGGCAGGCACACAGGGTCCTGGAAAGCCCAAAAGCTGTCTCCCCATGGAGTCCCTTTTCAGCTATACTTTCTCAGGGGTAGGGCCAGTTTATGAAAAGAAGTTGATGGTGATGATGATGAAGAGGGGTGTGCCCACGACAGGGAGAAGTGCCTGCAGCAGCTGGGTCACACACCAGTGTGGTCACGCACCAGCTAACTCCTAGCCTCCGCCTGCCCTTCCATCCGGGAACCCATGTGCATTGGTTAACTTCCCTTCTCTCCCTCTTCCCTTCCCCTTTACCTACTTCTCCACCTCCCCAATTCTGCCCTACTGCCAACAGGGCCATGTAAGTCCCCCAAGGAGTGGCAGAATGTACCTTTGGACCAGTCTTCTCCATGAATCCTTGTTTGAGGTAGTTCCTGGTGAGGAGGGGCAGGAGCTGGGGGAAGAGAGACAGACACTGACCCCTACTTGCCTCCAGGGGCTCAAGGTTGCCCACTGAGCTATGTTCCCCAAAAAAGGGGAAGTTTGGAATGGGGAAGGATGTGTGCTCATGGTTCACGGGCTATATTTGGAGCATGGAATGGATGTATATTAATATTTCAACAAAGCCAGTCAACAGCACCCCAGATGTTTGCAGAGCTTACTGGCATAGCTGAGTCTTGGTTTAGGGACTTGGTTTAAGAACTCCTGCAGTAATCTCAGGGTATGGACACAGGCAAGGCTCTGAGGAGACCCTCTTGGTTTCACGGAGCACATTCCAAGGGTCTACGGTATGTCAGGTTCTGCGTGCAATTCCCACCCACCCTGCAAGGTGGGTATTACCAGCTTCACTGCACATCTGAAGAAACCAGGCAACAGAGAGGTGTTTGGGGGTTTTATCCCAAAGTCGTATAACTGGTAGCATGAAGAGCTGAAATTCATACCTAGGGCTGAGGGGCACTAGACTGTACTCCTGCCACTATACCATGATGTTAAAGTATAAACATGCCAGAGCCCCCTGTTCACACCCCAGGCTGAGACTTGGTCATTGGTATGGATTCTGACACAGCACCATGGGCAGGAAGAGACAGCTCTGGACTAGGAGCTGGAGACCTGCGGTGTTCTAGCTCCATATCTGACTCAACCAGCTGTGTTACCTTGGTAAGACCTTACGTCTCTCTGGCCTGTTTCCCCCTGTGTAAGAAGGAGACTAGGTCATGTGATCTCAGGATCCCTTCCAGCCTTCCATCCTATGCTCAGAGAAGCTTCCAGGGATTGACACTGGCCTCCTATACTCCAGGAGTCAACCTGGCAAGTCTAGAGCTTCAAACGACCATCCAGGCTTCCAAGAGCAGAGGAGGTTTCCAGAGCTCCAGAGAGGGGCAGAAAGGAAGTGAGGTCTGGGGATAGCAATGGGAAGTCTGGAAGGGACAGTTGTGAGCTAAAAATAAAATATAAACGACACCACTCCTGTTTTCCTAAAATCTGTTTGCTAGGCTTTAATTCCTCCATTTGAAGAAAAATAGATGGAGTCCCTCACTGCTCAATGTTCTGAACTTAAACCAGTGCAGGGCTAGTCTAGGCCTAGGGAAACAACTGGAAGGAAAATCACATGGCTGGAGCACTGCTGACAGTACTGCAGATGCCCTGGCTCACCTGATCCTCACAATGGCCCTAGAAGGTAGGTATTGTCCCCTTAGTGACAGATGAGTAAATACACGGAGGCTTGGAGAGGTCAGGTGACCAGCTCTAGGTAACACATCAGGTTCTTTGACTTCAGAGTCCATGAGCATTTCTTTTTGCAGGACCACAGCCCCCCTGGGACTGCGTGGGTTTCTGGCATCTGGATCCTTCAGCTTGAGTGAGTCAGGTCTGGGTGGTTGCCCAGAACCTCACTCCATACAGTGACATGGGGTGGAGGAAAGACAGGAGGGAAGCAGACTGGGAAGAGACTGGGGGTATGGGGAGTGTATAGGGGTGATGATAGCCGATAAGGAAACATTGAGGACGTTGGCCAAAGATGAATATCCTCCACACAGGTCAGCAAAGGTGGGAAGCTGGCCCAGATTTAAGGCTGAACGTCTGCATGTTGTCTTCCCCCATCTCCAGTCAGCAGTGGGCAGTCAACCACCCATGGGAGCAAGCATTAACCAGTTCTGGGTGTTGCCTCAGCAAATGACCTCAGTCCCTGGCCCCAGCCTTGCTGGAACTGCTCCCCAAGAGCTGTTGTCTCAGTGCATCTCTGAATGCTCTGAAGGAGCATTCAGGCTTTCAAGGAGGGTCTAAAAGTTGGGAATAAGAAAGGCCAAAGACTGACATCACTTACAAAATCCTCTTAGAGGGGAGCCTACAACAGGAACCAGGCCATAGCACCTCGGAGCTGGAAGGGACCCTGCATATAACTTGGACCAACTGCCATCTTAACAATATGGGAACAAATGCTCAGAGAGTTGCTGTGACCTGCAGGCGTCACACAGCATCCATGTGAGCCCAGGCCTCCTGTTCAAGGCAGCATCCTCTGCCCCACACCATGCTGGCTTCCCCAGCCAAGCCTGGGAAGTTGATGGAGGCCTCAGACGTGTGGGGAAAATCAAAATGAAGTTCTCAGGTCACCATTACCTTGACCATGGAAGGCAGACTAGCTCCTATTACAACTGTCATGGGGAGGATTCCAGGGCCTTCCTGAGACCAGAATACCACAGGGCAAAGAGGGGATGTTAGACTGGGAAGAGCACCTTTGGTTATTCACTTGACCTTCCTGTGACTCAGTCTCTCATCAGTAAAATGGGAATAATCACCCCTAACTGCCTGCTATAAGGGATTACTGGATAAAAGGGATTACAAGATAAATGGGCTCAAAAGCACTTTGTAAGCAGTTTGTTAGGGATAAATTGTACATTTTAGTGGGAGAGGGGGTTGAAAAGAGATACCCAAGTGCTGAGCCCCTTGACACTGTGGATAGTGGCCATGCATCCCGAAAGGGAGAAAATGACCTGCAAAAGAGGCCGTCTTGCTATATGCGTGGCTGCAATCCACCGTCCCCTCCCCTTCCCCAGGAGAAAGCCTTTGCCTTCCCTCTGAGGTGCCCAACCCTCAAGTCTCAAGGCCTTGCCTGCAAGCAAACCTAGTCTGGCCTCTGATTGTCTTTGGAGTCAGCAGACAAGTAGAGAAGGAGGTGGCAGAGAGGAAATTCAGAAGTTGGGGTTCACATTTAGCTCACCTCAGACTCTGGAAGCTCAGGAAAGGCTATTTTTAGGTATCGCAGCCGTGCTGAGCGGAGGGCATTGAACCAGTCCACTATCTCCTGCCGAGAAAAATGCAAAGGACACACAGACAGCTGGTGAGATGGGGTTGGGGCAGGAGGCTGAGTCTGGTGGCAGGAGGCTAGCTGGGTGATCAGGTTTGGGGTGTATCCACTCAGCACATGCACACCCCCCACAGCTCCACTCAGGATGCATGGGCTGATCACAGGCACCAGGGAGGACTATGTTAGCACCTCGGGGCTGACCTGAGCAAGGGGGAAGCCACTGATGGGGAGAACCCCAGAGCCGCGGGAAAGGTTCAAAGTGAACTACAACAACCTAGGACAGTGCTTTTCACTTTCTTATGTGTGCATGAATCACCTGGGGAGGTTGTTAAAATGCAGATTCAGATTCAGTAGTGGGGTGGGGCCTGAGACCCTACATTCCTGACAAGCTTTTAGGTTATAGAGACTGCTGGTCAGTGAGACACACTTTGAGGAACAAGGCACTAGGAAATCATTGTCCTCAGCTGTTAAAGATCGGCTTTTGGTTGGGGGGCAGGTGCACCTGTGGATGCTCCTCTAATGGTGATGCTCACGACCTCAAGTACAACTTAGGCCAAAGCTGTGGGCACTCTGTGAGAATGGATCCCTCAGCAGGTGGGCCACCGTCATCTCTTACCTGCACAGCCACATATCTAGCTGCTCTCCAATTGTTCCTCCCACGGCAGAGTGATTTTCTAATTATACATCTACTTCAGTCTGGCCTCTCTATCACCCTCAGAGAAAAAGTCCAAGTTCTTCAGTATGGCTCATTTTGCCCTCTGAGTTCCTTCCATGCAAAACTATCTGCAATCTCCCTAACACATGCTCTTCCCTCCTCTTGGGACACTCTGCCTCACCCACCTCCCTCTCATACACACCTTTTACCTAGGACATTCTACTCATCCTGCAGGTTAGCTTAGGTGTTGCAATAGATAGATTTTTGGGTGCTTGCTCAGCCCAGGCCTTGCTTCTATGAGAACAGCCCCACCCATCCTCACCCACCCCTGATTGCAGCCCCAGGTGCTACTGTGATCCTTCTCCTCCTTGGCCACTGCAACTGGACCAGGGCTGGACCAACACAGAGGCTGGACTGGGCTTATCAGATGCTTTCTCCCAGGAATTTGGAATTGGGAGGATGAAAGGCTTGTTCAAATAGCTGCAGTGCTGGAATCTGATATCATATGATGATTGAGAAAGTCATTTGAATATGGTGTCAAAGAAATGAAACAACTTCCCTTTCTCATAGGTCAAGCACACAGCCCTAGTATTGCAGAGCTCTGAGCTTGCTTGTTCTGGAGTTTGCTAAGAACCTTCTTGGGTCTCAGGCACGAAGGGAATGGAGCCAGCCCAGAAAAGACACACTCAGGCCTTCACTTTGGAAGGTCTCTCCAGTCACAAACTGGTGACCCTTGGACCAACCTGTGTACATATTTGCTTGGCTCCTGAAGTTTTGTTTGTTTGTATCACTCCTCTATGCAGGTTTTCTGTTTGCCATAGCCCCCTCCACCCCTTATACCTATCCACTTCCCTTTTAACTTACCCACCTGGCTCCTGCAGGCAGAAATTGACAGCCCACATTTACGCCCATCCAGTGGAGAGGCTGGGGCCCCAAGGGTAAAAGGAGAATGGCCAGACCCAGGTTGGCAGGTGCTTCACAACTGGGCAAATGGGAGGGAGCCAGGTATCCTAAGTGTCAGCAACCTCAGACACCTTAGCAAAAGTCCTCGTGGCAGGGATTGGCATGGAGGGGTGGCCACCCATGTCCAACCAGTCTGGACATGGGACAACAGCAAAGAGCCCACCATGGACTGAGAACCAGGGATCCCTCATGTCTCCCAGGCTGCACAAGTCCCAAGATTCTGGTAAAATCAAGGGAGGGAGCCAAGAAAGATGACTGATATTAGATTTCTTGCTAATCTTGGGAATGGAGTCCCTGAATTTAGAAAAACAAAGAAGTGCAGTATACCTTCCACCCTGGTGTTATAGAATAACTTGTACCTGTTAGAAGGAGGGTGTGTGCTTTCTCTCTCCCTGTCTGTCTCTCCCTCTCTCTCCACTTCTCCTTCTGTGTCTCTGTCTCTACCTCTTCCTCCTTCTCTCTCTTTCTACCTCTCTCTCTTACACACACACACTCACACTCAGCTTCTGATTCTAATCTCTCAGGAGGCCCAGTCATATTTTTGCCCTTGAAATAAATACGTCTGTATTTTTCCCATTCATGCCCCTTTAAACCAGTTCGAGTGTGCTCCTTTTTAGTGTATTCACATAAATTTTTTTGGTTTTGTTTTTGTTTTGGCAGCTGGCCGGTGAGGGGATCCGAACCCTTGACCTTGGTGTTATAACACCGACTCTAACCAACTAAGCTAACTGGCCAGCCTCACACAATTTTTTTATTTTTTATTTATTTTTATTTTTTTTTTCCTTTTTGTCTTTTTTCGTGTCCGGCAACGGATCACAACCCTCAGTGTTGCGCCCATACCAGACCGGGACCAGCAACGGGATCGCAAACCTCGGTGCCGCACCCGCACCTCGCTCAGCCAGTGAGCAGGAACCGGTCTGTCAGCACCACGCTCAGCCAGTGAGCAAACCGGCCATCCCTATGTGGGATCCGAACCCGGGGCCTTGGTGTTATTAGCACCGCACTCTACCGAGTGAGCCACGGGCCGGCCCAGGAACCGGTCTGTATGTGGGATCCGAACCCTCAGCGGGAGCGCGGCGAAGCGGCGCACTGTAGCAATGCGCCACCGGGCCGGCCCTAAACAGAAACTCCTTCCTCTTACATGTCTTCCATGCTTCCCCAGCATGACCATCACCCACCATACAGCATCATCAGAGCCTGTTTCCTGTCTCTCTCCCTCCCTAGACTGTGAGGTCCTCAAGGCCCAAGGTTCTGCCACACTCACTACCACACTCCCTAGAACCTAGCACAGTGCTTTGCTCATTGTAGGGCCTCAATAAGAATTTGTTAAGAGAGTGAATTCATAAATGAGTACATGACACAGGTGAAAAATTCGCCACGAGACTTTGCCCTTTATGTTGGCTACAATAGCGAGCAAATAATGACTGCAGCAACCAGTGTTTGCAATGCATACATGGTTACGAAATACTTTCACATTTGTGGTTCATGGTCACTCAACCCTGAAAACCCCTCTGGAGAGTTATGCATTATAATCCACAAACTAGCAAACAGACTCAGGTGGGAAGGGACTTGTCTAGTAACACAGCAAAGTGCAGCAGAACTAAGCTTCAGCTTCTGACTCCAAACCTCAGCTGTCAGACCACACCACCAGGACTCTGCCCAGACTATGGAGAAAGCGTGAAGCCTGCTGGGAAGATGACCCATGGTCACTGCCCCAGCGGCAGGGCCCCTTGGGAAGATCTAGTCACTGCATCTGGTTCCTGGCTCCTGCTGTGAAGGGTTGTCCTCCAGCAGAAACAGACGGGGTGGTAAAATGGGTGCAGAGCTCAGGAACCATCAGCCGTGTGACCCTGAGTGACTTACGTAACATGTCCATGCCTCAGTAACATAAGAATGAAACACTTCTGAGGTTGTTTTGAGGATTAAGAAATGATGCCTAGCAATCACCAAGAACAGTGTCCAGCAGAGTCACTAGATGCTCAGAAATAACCCCCACCTTCATGCCACCCCCATTGAGCAGCCCCTTCCCAGTCACGTGACCATGCTCAGGATCTGACCCAGCTTATTCTCTTGGACCTGTACTGCTGGCATGCTTTTCTCTGACCGGGCTGACTTCCTGGCCCATTATGTAATGCTTCTCAAACTTGAATGAGCATAGAGATTACCCAGCGATAGTGTTAAAATGCAGTTTCTAATTCAGTAGATCCGGAGTGGGCCTGAGACTCTATTTCTAACAAGCTTCCAGGTGATGCCAATGCTTTTAGTCCAGAATTGCACATTGAGAAGTAAGGCCCTAGCCTGATCTGCTAGCCATTCCTCCTCCGATATCCATATCCTCTGGCCCTACCTGGATTTGCCATCCCTGGGCATAGTTGCTTCTGCTAACTGGACTCCCATTGGTGGCTGTGCACTGTCCAGATATACCCATGATACCTGCCAGGTTCCTCTCCCCGATCTCACTCTGCCTTCCTCATACCTCTGTCTCAGACTGAGAAGTGACTACAGATTAAGGAAAATAGCAGCAGCAAATCTCAAGAGTCAGCTGAGCACACCACCACATGAGCAAGTGAGGGGGTGAGCTGGGCCTGCTGGGTCCTGGGGTGCCGAGCCAGAGGCTGGGTGGCAAACCCAGTCATCTCACCTTCCCACTTTCGTGATATACAAACAGGTTCCTGGTGTGGCCCTCTCTCCTGTAGGTGATCTGTAGCCCATGGGGGTGGCCTATCTTCTCTGTCTGGAAGGTGGCATTCAAGTCCTTGATGCTGATGACAGCTTTGGGGCCTTTACCCTGAAAGAAAAAGAGGATATTCAAGATGCTGATGGTCAGCAGGGTGACTTCTGGTCAACCTTCACAGAGGCCTTAATGCAAACAAAAACCAATTTGTAACTTTGTATGTGTTTTCAATGTTCTTGCCCTAATATCAAAGTGCACAGATACTCTACTGAACTCCTGTACACAGGAGATCATCCCATGACCCCTGCCTAATCAGACTGGCCTCTCTGAGCTGGAAGGGGGTCTGGAAAAAGTCCTTAACTTAGGACTCTTCAAACCCATTAGCCATAGAACTTTTTCTGAAGCAAACCATCCACAGAAACCAAAGAAAGAAAACAGATATAAGCAGGTGTGGGGGGGCTCGGAGCACTCCCTCTGCCACTCTACTCCCTGTCCTCAAGGGTTCTGAATCCCAGTTGGAGCACTAGCTGATGTGCAGAAGGGATGGCAAGAAGCACTTTGCTTTGAAGGGGACAGGAAAGCAAAATGATGACAGAACTCCAGACCTGTAGTAGCCATTAACCAGATGTGGCTATTTAAAATAAAATTAAATAAAATTTAAAATTTTGTTCCTTAGTTGCACTTAGCCCCATTGCAAGTGCTCAGTAGCCACCTGTGGCTAGTGGCTATGGTACTGGACAGGGCAGACATAGAACACTTCCATCACAGAAGAAAGTTCTAGTGGACAGTCTTCTCTAGAGGGAAATGTGGTCCTATCTATTAAAATATTGAATGTTTTGCTTTGACATACAATTTTGTATCTAAGAATCTATCCCAAGGAAGTAATTGCATTACTATGCAAGTATGTATGTCAAAAGATGTTTATTGTGGTGTTGCTTATAACAGAAAATACAATAGGAAACTATTTAAATGTTCATTAATGATTGTGAGTTAAATAAATCATGGCATGTCCACAGAATCAAATACCACAGAATTTTTTAAAGAATAATTTAGATCAATATTACTAATATGAAAAAAAAATGCCCATGATATCCATAAGTGAGAATACCAAGTCCCAGAACAGGAGGTATAGCAGGAAATTATTAATATGAAAATTACATGGGCCGGCCCGGTGGCAGACTGGGTAGTGCGCCGCTTGGGAAGCGCGGTGGCGCTCCCGCCCGAGGGTTCGGATCCCACATACGGACCGGCTCCCGCTCACTGGCTGAGCGAGGCGCGGGAGCAACGCCGAGGTTTGCAATCCCGTTGCCGGTCCCTGGTCCGGTACGGGGGCAACACTGAGGGTTGCGATCCGTTGCCGGACACGGAAAAAGACAAAAGACAAAAAAATAAAAAATAAAAAATAAAGAAATTAAACAAATATATACATACATTATACATAATGTGTATTTTAAGTATATTTGAACACACTTAAAAAGTATAGACGGATTTACACCAACACTGTCAACAATGGTTTCTTGGAAGATTATTGGAAGACTTTCCTTTTTAAAAATTTAATTTGAGCAATACTAAAAATACAAAAAAGTTACATCTAATTTTGCCAATATTCTTCCTAACTTTTTTTTTTTTTGTCTTTTTTGTGACCGGTAAGGGGATCACAACCCTTGGCTTGGTGTCGCCCGCACCACGCTCAGCCAGTGAGCGCACCGGCCAGTCCTATATAGGATCTAAACCCGCGGCGGGAGCGTTGCTGCGCTCCCAGCACCACACTCTCCCGAGTGCGCCACGGGCTCGGCCCTCTTCCTAACTTTTTAAAAAAGAAATATGTCATTATTAATAAAGCCAGTCTCTTTAACTGAAACTCCCCCATCCCATTCTCCTCCTCATGCTCATGGGCAGTCACTGTCATGAGTTTGATGTTTATCCTTCTAGTTCACTTTTTATACTTTTACACACATATACACATATGCATATATCTGTGAGCAATATATAGCATTGTTTTCATGGTTTTAATTTACATAAATGGTATCACACTGTGTGGATCATTTTCTATCTTGCTTTTGAGATACACCAATCTAGTTCGCTCTTGCACATGACTATACCAAAAGTATCAATCTATTTTCCTGTTGACCCATTTATTGTTTCTGATTTTTTGCTATTATAAGTAATGCAGTCAGTTTCTGCCCCTGTCACACATATGTGAGAGTTTCTATTGTCACAGTATATTCTTAGGAATGGAATTGCTAGATCACAGCTGTGTACCTCTTCAACTTACTGGAAACTGCCAAATTATTCTGCTTAACGGCTCCACAGTGATTAGACCAACATTTACTTCCATCAATAACATAGAAGAGTTTCCATTTCCCCAGGTCCTCAACAACAGTTGACACTGCCAGATTAAACAATTTTTGCCAATAAGATGTGTATGAAATTGTATCTCATTCTTAATTTTCATTTAATCAACTTTATCAAGGTATAATTTATTTATTTATTTTATTTTTTATTTTTTATTTTTTTAAAAGATGACCGGTAAGGGGATCTCAACCCTAACCCTTGGCTTGGTGTTGTCAGCACCACGCTCAGCCAGTGAGCAAACCGGCCATCCCTATACAGGATCCGAACCCACGGCCTTGGTGTTATCAGCACCACACTCTACCGAGTGAGCCACGGGCCGGCCCTATCAAGGTATAATTTATAAACAATAAACTGTACTCCCTTTATGAGTACAGTTTGGTTGCTGACAAGTGTATATACCCATATAACCACCATAATGATCAACATATAAAACATTACTATCAGCCCAAAAGAGTTCCCTCATGCCCCTTTGCAGTCAATCCCTACCCTACCCAACCCCAGACAACCACTTGTCTATGCCTTTGGTACAGAGTAGGTTTGCCTGTTCTAGAATTTCATATAAATGGAATCATATAGTACTCTTGTTTAAGATTTATTTTGCTCAGAAAAATGTATTTGAGATTCATCTATGTTGTTGCATTTATTGGTAGTCTGTCCCTTTATGTTGCTGAGTAATATTCTGTTCTATGGACATATTACAATTTATTTGTTCATCATCAGTAGATGAATGTTTGGGTTCTTTCCAGGTTTTGGATGTTACAAACAAAGCTCCTATGAACATTCGCGTACAGGACTTTTTGTAAATATATGCTTTTGCTCCTCTTCAGTAAATACCTGGGAGTGAAATGGTTGGGTTACATAGCTAAATGTGTATTTAACTTTATTAAAAACTTAGGACTCTTCTTTTATTAAAAACTGCCAAATTGTTTTCCAAAGGGGTTGTACAGTCCTACAAGCAACATATGAGAGTTCTGGTTGTTCCACATTCTTGCCAACACTTGGTGTTGTCAGCCTTTTAAATTTTAGCCATTCTGGTGGGTAAATAATATATATCATTGTGGTTTTAATTTGCATGTCCCTGACTGCCAGAGAGATTAGTGTTTTCTTATATTTATCACACATTTTGGTTCCTTTCCTGTGACTTTCTAGTCCATTTCCTTTGCCTATTTTTCCAATTGATTTTCTTTTTCTTATTGATTTGTAATTTTTAAAAAAAATTTATTCCGGGTATTAATATTTTGCTATGTTGAGATATCTTCTCGGTTTCACTTTCTTTATACTTTATTAACTTTTTTGTATTACCCAAAACTTTTACCACAAAAGAATGAGTTACCTTTTTAATAAAAAATTTCCATTTTGGGAAAAATGAAAAAGAACCCAGGGAACCCATTCTATTTTTGGACTATTCTAGACTGAACTGGCTTAAGACTTAAGAACGGATCAGCTTTTTCCAACCAAGGATGAGACCCTGTCCTAGAGGCCAACCCACTGCAGCTGCTGGGGTTTGGGAGCCCTTCCTAACTGCAGCAGAAGTTTCTATTCCTGCCTTTTGTACCATTTCAACAAAAATGTTGAAAAAGCAAGAATTTTCAGTGCTTTACATTAAAGACTAAGAAAAAAATCCCTACTCTCACTTGGAGGCTTAATATTCTTCATCCCCCACATTTTTCACTTGGTCTCAGATTGTGGCCACACTGGACAGAGCTTCTAGCATTGGTGTGGATTGTGTAGAAAAGCAAAAGGAGAAATAAATCATAATTTCTACATACAGGAAGTGGTTAAGACAAAGAGTAAAGTGCTGACTGCTTGTCCTTCTCTTACTTCATTGGCCACTCCTTCACATTCTCTTTGCTGGAAATATCTCACCCTTCTGTCCTCTAACTTCTGGAATGCAGGGCTGGCTGGTTAGCTCGGTTGGTTAGAGTGCAGTGTTATAATACCAAGGTCAAGGGTTCAGATCCCTGTACCCACTAAGATGTCTATAATAAGAAAGACAGATAACAACAAGCGTTGGTGAGGGTGTGGAGAAATGGGAACCCTCGCACACTGCTGATGGGAATGTAAAATGAGGCGGCCACTTTGGAAAACAGTCCGGCAATTCCTCAACTTGGGGTGCTGAAAACTTCTAAAACTGTGTGACAGCTGCACAACTGGGTGAATACACTAAAAGCCACTGAGTATGTACTTTTTTTTTTTTTTTAAAAAGATGACCGGTAAGGGGTTCTTAACCCTTGACTTGGTGTTGTCAGTACCACACTCAGCCAGTGAGCAAACCGGCCATCCCTATGTGGGATCCGAACTCGGGGCCTTGGTGTTATCAGCACCGCACTCTCCTGAGTGAGCCACGGGCCAGCCCAACTGAGTATGTACTTTAAGTGGGTGAATTGTATGGTATGTGAATTGTGCCTTAGTAAAGCTGTTACCAAAAAAATCCAAAGTCTTACTATAGCCTACAAGGTCCTTCCCTACATGACTTCATCTCCCTCCATCCTGTTCCTCGCTCACTCTGCACAAGTCACTTTGGCCTCCTGGATGCCCAACAGACCCACCAAACACACTGCTAGCTCAGGGCCAGGGCTTATGGTAGAGTAGTTTGTGCCCTGTACAAAAAGCCGCTGGCTGAGTGATAACTGCAATCCAGGAGTCTGCTTTCCTAGACTTGGGCTCAGGGGTTGTGCCCTCTCAGAGGGGCCGTCTTTTTCTAATTGGCATGTATGTGCTAGCCACGACCATGCTCAGGTCGTCTGCACTTGCTGTTCCCTCCGCCTCTTCTGCTCTTCCCCCACATATCCACATAATTCAGTCTTCACATTTATTCATTTATCTGCTCAAGTGTCATCAGAGAGCCCTTCTCTGGCCACGCTGGGGCAACACCCCTGCCACGCTCCCATTATTCTCTAACCCCTCACCCTCTCCTGTTTGACTTCATAGAACTTATCACCACCTGTACATTATATATTGATGTAAATTTTTGTTACTGGCTGTCTCCTTCCACTAGACTGACAGGACCATGAGTACAGAAGCTTTGTTGACGTCACTGCTGTATCCCCAGTGCCTAGAATCAAGTCTACCTCATAGTAGGTGCTCAATAAACATTCCTTAAGTGAATCAATAAGTGAAGTAAAATCAAGTAGTCATGAAAGGCTTAAACATGGACCAGTTTAAGCCATTTCTAGGTGAACAGAGAGTGTGTTTTTAGTGGACTGGGCTGAGTGTATAACCAAGGAAAGGTGGTGGAATGTTGTGCCCAACTCTCCGTGGCTGAGACTACCCATGATACAGGGCACCATTGATTAGAACACAGACGTTAGTGGGGTGAGAGCTCATTGCTCAGGGAGGGAACCACTTGCTGGTCTGGCTTCTTACCTCTTCCTTAGTGTAGTACTTCAGGAGGCCTTCTCTTGCCAGAAGGACAAATCTCCTTCTCAGGAACCGTGCATTGTCCTTTCCCCGCTTCCACAGGAATCCTTCTTTGTTACCTTAACCACAAAGGATGAGAAAGAGTGAATACCCGTGACCTTAAGATGCACAGCAGCTCACAAACCTTATCAGGTCTTGAGGTGGAACGAGCCCTTCACCTGCTGCCTAAATATCTCCAACCTAACTTGGCTATTTCAGCCACAGGACACAAGGGTCCTGTCTGCGGCCAATTTTGTTATGTCTTAACACTTCAGTTGGGTTTTCCCACTGTGCAAAACCTTTCTTCCTTGGCTCCCCATGGTATCAGGCTTTCTCATAAGAAAAAGAAACAAACATACTGAGAAGTAACAAACCCCTGAGAAGGCCAAGTCCTGAGAAACTGGACTGATTCTGAAAGAGGCCTAAATATCTATGGTCCTGCCCAACTACATGCTGAAATCAGTCTGATGAAACTTGAGGAATAATGAGTGATTTCTCAGCACCTGCTTCTTTGAAGAAGAATTTATGCTCCTGGTAGCTAGGACAGTTGAGCACTGGCTGCCTCTGGTTTTCCAAGAGTGGTTTTTGTACAATTTGCTCTCTGGGTTGGTGTCAGCTTGGAGTCAGGGCAGTGAGGTGAAAACTGCCACAGGCCCAGGGCCACCGATGAGGTTGTAACCCTGTACAATGGCAGAAAGGGAGGTAGAGATCCAGCCCATGCTCCTCGCCAAGCTTTGAGCTGCACCGGGAGCTACATTAGCCAGGAGCAGGGGTGCCTTCTAAACGGTCTTCCCAGTGGAAGTCTTCCTGCAATTTATACTAAGAGTCTGTATATGCTTGCAGCCCTTCAGGGACCTGAGACAAACGTTCTGCTGCTCAGACCATAAAGTGCCACGAGCTGATGTGTTGTGGTTTCAGAGATGGAGGAACCCACACATTGCCCTCTGTGGCCAGAGAGAGGTGGGTAGTTGTCTCTTGGATGGATTTTGCTCCTAATATTCAGGGACTTTGTTTTCTAGAGCTCATTAGAACATAGGTCTCAACTTGCCTGTTAGCTCAGTTGGTTAGAGTGTGGTGCTGATAGAACATAGGTCTCAAAAGACAATGAAAATAACCTTACCTAAGGGTGAAATGGGTTTCCCATCAGCCATAAATTCCTGTCTCTCATACTTAGCTCGAATCCATTGTTCCTTTAAGACCCTAAAAAGAGAGAACCTTTGGTTAGTTGTGTCTGATGCATTCCCTTCCCACAGCAACTTTCCAAGACCCTGCAGCTGAAGCTGAGAACACCCCAGCAACTGCCTCTCAGCTTTCTCAGCCTCAACACCATTAATGTTTGGTGCTGAATCGTTCTTTGTTGTGGGGCTGTCCTATGCTTTGTAGAATGCTTAGCAGCATCTCCAGCCTCTATCTACTAGAGAGCCAGCAGCATCCCCTCTCCAGTTGTGACACCCAAAAAATGTCTACAAACATTGCCAAATGTCTCCTGGGGGAAAACATCCCCCCACCCCTTGGGCTATATGAGAACCACTGGGATTTTCCAACCCAAGCCTCAGATCTCTAGGATAATGAGACAGGTGCCGGCTCCCTGGGCCATCTACACCTGTCCCCTCCCACTGCATGTTCATGAGTTTAAGCTAGGAGAGTCCAAGAGTCTCTTCCCGTGGACTACCCAGGATCTGGTCAGGCTACACTGGACAGAGCAGTGGTCTTGGGGTCTGACCACCTGAGACCTGATCTTACTCTACCATTTATCCACTGTGTGACCAAGAACAAGTTACCTACTCCTCTAAATTTGGGGAATATGCCAATATTATTATACCTACCTACCCCTTAGGGTTGTTCAGAGGTCTAAATATATGTAAAGGGCCTATGACCATTCTTGGCACATAGCAGGTATTTAATATAAACCTAATCAGATATTGGTAACCATGACCTCTGCAGAAAAATCATGCAGCAAGAGTGAACTTATTTTAACTATCTGGTTCCCTCTCACCTTTTCCAGGTAAATGTTCCAAGGTTTATATGACTTTACCCCATAGCCACAGGAATGACCTAGAGGTGGGCATCTGTCCCAAACTGGTCATTCAGAGCTCTGGGAAGCCCTGGGCTGTGTGGACCAAAATGATACCAAATCTGAAAGAGGGACTGATTGAAGTTCTCTCCAGGGCCATGCTGGGAGGTGTCACCTGGCACCTGGAAGTGGCCTTACTGCCATCTGCATGAAGGAAGCCTGGCTGAGAGAAAGATGCAGGAACAGGAACCAGAGAGAGTATATGAGACCTGATCATGTTTGAATGCCTGGCTTGGTCCTTCCTGAGAGTGGCTCCACCTCTGTCCTTCCTGTGGTTTGATTCCCAGAATCCATCAAATCTCCTTTTGCCTAAGCTAGTCTAAATTGGGTTTCTGTCACTTTTAATCGAGGATCCTGTCTAATGCACAGCCCTCACCCATAGGGCACTGAAAAGAGTCACAGTGACCATCTTGGGGGTGGAAACCTTGGGCCACAGGATCAGAACTGGGAGAGAATGGGGACCAAGGGCCACCAAACCTGGTCCTGGAGGTGGGGAGTTTAGAGGAATTGGGAGGAGGCAGCCATTAGTACTCAGCTAGAGGGATTAAAATGCAGGTGTCTTGTTGGAGCCATGACAATGCCTGTGCAGTGCTGGCAGAAAGCCTAGCACATAGTAGGTGCTCACCAAGTGCTTGGAGCAAAGGGCTGTGTGCAGCAGTGAGGCAAGGTGAGGCTGGCCCTCTCAAGTGGAGCCCTGCACATCCCTCACTTAGGCCAGGGGCCAGGCAGCATTCTGAAGCTGACACTGAGAAATGGATTAAAACTAGTGGGTTGGGTTGCATATGAGAGGTTTTACCCAAATTATCTTATTTAATCTCTATAACTATGCTATGATGCAGGCATCTTTGCCTTCATTCCACAGATGAGGATGCTGACAATCAGAGAGGTTTGGTAACCTGTCCACCATCTCACAGCTAGGTAATGCTGGAGTTGGGAAACAAAACTAAGGTCTTCCCAGCAGAGAGCTGTACTTCCCCTGCCATTCTACACTGCATTGTAGTCCTGGGGTGGTCTAAGTACTGAGAAATTGCAGGACCACCAGGGTGTAGTTTGTGCATTGCCCAAAAGCCCCCTGCCAAGGCCAGAAGGCTGAAATGCAGTTCACTCTCTGCTTGCCAGCATGCCCCATGAGTTCGTGTCTGCTAGAAGGACACCTCCTTCCCATTTACACTAGGCACTATCCAGCATCCCTAGTGGGGAGGCTGAGTCCCTAGGAAGGAGTCTCAAGTTTGGGCAGTCAGTCCTGCAGAGGTCCAGAGTCACTAGGCACAAGTATCACACTGACCCCTGACCTCCAGGACCTGAATCCTTTTGCTGTTATATTGTATTCTCCCAATGCTGTGTGACAATCTCCCATGCCCTGGTGTCAGGTGGGCTAGACCCAGTTCTGCCTCTTGTAAGCCTCAAGTTTTTCTATTGATGGGGACAGTTACAGTACTCATCTCATAGGGTTGTTGAGAGAATTAAACAAATGAATGCGCATAAACATTTAGCACAGGACCTGGTACATAGGTAAAGTTCAATAAATCTTGGTAGCTACTGTTATTTTTATGGTTATTATTTAGGGATCTGCAGCCCAGGCAAGTTATTTGGAGCCAATGTGAGCTTAGGTGGGACAGCCCAATATATAGCACTTGATAGGAAGTAGCTGAAACACACTTGCTCTGCTAACATACCAGCATTTCTCCTCTTTATCAAGTTAGCCACCACCTAAAGGCACAAGAACGTTAGAGGCAGAAGGATAGATCATAGAAAAAATCCCCCACTTCACAACTGTGGAAACTGAGGCCCAGAGAGGGGAAGTGACACACCCAAGCAATGGAGTTAGAGAGAGGCTTAAACCAGATCTCCTATGTGCCATGATGGTACCAAATGCTTCCCTGGATTTACCTGCTGACCAGGTCCATAGAAGAGACCATCGCAGACAAAAGCATTGGAGACAGACAGGGGTGGGGAGATGTGGGACCAAGAAAACCCCTCACCCAGCCCTTAAAGAATCACCCACTTGGGCTGGCCCGGTGGCGTGCTGGAGAGTGTGCTGCGCGGCGCTCCCGCCGAGGGTTCGGATCCCATGTGGAGACCGGTTCCCGCTCACTGGCTGAGTGTGGTGCGGGCGCAACACCAATGGTTGCGATTCCATTACCAGTCAGTAAAAAAGAAAAAAAGGAAAAAAAAAAAAAAAGAATCACCCACTCACATGCAGTCATTGGCCTGGGGGATGTAGTAGAAAGCTGGGACTCTGGCTTCAAACTTGGCCTTCACACGGAGGTTCCCATTGTGGGTCATAAACTGTAAGACAACAGCAACTTGGAGTAATATTAGAACTTGAAAAAAACAGGAAATGAAATCGTGTTCTACCCAGAAGGCCATTGGTCCCACAAAATCCTAGGCTGGGTCAGAAGAAACTGCCTCCGAGAAGGAGACGTCGCACCAGGCTTGGTCATCCATGCTGCTGGGAAGCCCCAGCCTGGAACAAGAGAGGCGGTAATAACCATGCCTCATATAAGCAGAGCACTTCACAGTTCTCACACACTAGCTCACTGAGTCCTCTCAACCCTCCTCATTTTAGACAGGAGGAAGCTGAGGTTCAGAGAGGTTAGGTGACTTGCCCAAGGCAACACAGCTAGTAAGTAGAGAGCTGGGATTTGAACCTGTCTGCCTCCAAAACTCATGTTCTTTCTCCCACTCCTACGGGACCCCCAGCATCTCAGAAAGTCTGCAGGACACAGATGTAGCTGGAGGGTGGAAGAAGTGGGTGCTGGCCCCATAGAGTACATGATGATCTGTGGAGCCCTTTGTCACCCAAGAGACCCAGATGCTGATGTGCCAAGAGTGGCCCTGGCAGCAGTGGCATATCTGGGGTGCAGCCGGGAGCGGGAAGAAACACGAAGTTTCAAATTCACATCTCTTGGGCAGAGTGAACCCTACTCTCCTCTTCCCCAAGGGCTGCTGGGCTGTGTCACAGGATCCCAACAGAGCAGTGTTCAAATCCTGCTTCTGCCATTTATTCACTGAGTGACTCTTGGTATCTCACCTGTAAAACTGAAGAAAATATAATAAGGGAGTTATAAGTAAGGCACACATAAAAAACCTTCAGGTTTATGTGCTGCTTTACTGGTTTCCCGTCTCTCTCCTCCACTGGAAGGTAAGCTCTGTATGGGCAGGGACCTGATCTTGTTCACTGTTCTCTCCCAGGACCCAGTGCAAAGTAGGCTTACGGTAACTATGTGTTGAATGAATAAGTAAAGCATCCAGCCCAGTGGTGTCTAGCACAGTACCTGACAAGGAGCTGACACTCACTAAATGTTGGCTTGCTTCTCCAAATAGTCCCTGAAACCTTCAGCCAACCAGCACAATGTAGAACTGCCTGCTCGCTGAAGGTTTTCTGGTCAAAATGGTACTACCATCCAGGCTGAGAGTGTCCCCCATCCCCAGAGGTCAGGAGAACAAAGTGGTCCTCTTCCTAGCTTGGGGGAAGGGAGGAAGACCATAGACCATGAATCAGGTTATTTCCCTTCCCCCAGTCCAGAACGTTCTCTAATGATAACAGCAACTGTTAATTGATTACTTACTTTGTGCCTGGACATTTAATCCTTACAGCAGTCCTGTGAATGGGTAGTGGTGTCCCCACAATACAGATGTGGAAACTGAGGGTCCACAGCTACGATTAAGTAACTAGCTCAGGGCCTCACAGATTGTAAGTAAGCAAATGATGGAGCCAGAGTCGGAACTCAGGGTCTCTGTCTAGGCTGCCATCCAATATTCTGTATTTCCTCTCGCTAGTTATCGCCCTCTCTGGGCCTCAGTTTCCTCCTCTGTAGAATGGGAGCATCCCGCCCACTGCCTCCACCCCAGCTCTGCGGTTCCATGGCAGTCCACGTGCATGCCTTTCTACCTCCACAATACTGTCGTCCCAGAAGTCAAGTCTCACGGATTTAACTCTGCTGACGTCCGGGAAGTTGCGGTGGACTCCGGAGCAGTTGAGACAGATGAAGATTCCCAGCTTGTAAGAAGCCCAGTCGGGATCTGCAGGGCGGGAGGGCAGGAGGGGAGCTGAGCAAACGGCAGGGCGAGGAAACCAGGGCTGGGCTGGGGACCACGGGACAGGCAGGGCCTGACAGGATTCTGGAGGCGGTGGCCAGTCCTGCCCACGCCAAGAACCCCTTCTCTCTTGGTCTCCCACCTCGGGAGAACTAAGTTATCAGCATGGAACCTTCTGGTCAGCCCACCCACCGTGGAGGGAGTCCAGGGGATGGGGCGAGAGGCTGCGGCGGGCGCGACGTGGAAGTGACAGGGCTCAGGGGAAACTGACAGGAGGGCAGCTTGTCTGGAGAGCAACAAGTGGGGGGGGGGTGTGTCTGAGTCAGGACCCCTCGGTGTCCGCGGGGTCGAAGCGCTGTGGGGTGGAGAGCTGGGGAGGACCTCGGGGGCGTCCGGGGGTGAGGCAGGGGACACAGGACGGTCAGGCGCCCCGGGTCCGAGGTTTGGGGTCCCTCCGTGTGTGGGTATCTGTGTCCGAGGGCGTGGGAAGTGCCTGGGTCAGGAGGGAAGGCTCCGGGGACCCGGGTCCGGCGCAATAGGGTGTCTGGCGGGGCAGGCGAGCAGGACGGTCAGGACGGCTCAGGGTCTAGTCGGGGTGCGAGGACGCGCCGGAAGATCACCGTCGGGTCCAGAGTGGGGAGTCGGGGCTCGGGGTCGGGGGGACGGGG